CAATGTACACTATTTCTGAGTGGTGCGTTCATCCTAGTAGCAAGTTTGTAGAAAATAGGATAATGCACACCAAAAAGTCAGTATGAAAATTGGTTATTTATTATTAATATTCTAAAGTAAAAACAACCCACACATAAAAAGTAACAATATTTGTTCTTGGATTGGGGAAAAGAAAATGATTATTGACTGTTAGAGATAATTTGTAAAAAAAAGAAAAAGAAATTGATGAATTAAAACAATGGCCTGGGATTGTTATTGAGCCCAATGACAAAGGAGGAAATTGAGTTCTCTAGACCGTGGGCCAGTATGCATCCGTATCTGTATGAATCTTGTGACCTAAAGCTTTCTTTGCAAATACTATGCTTCTGCACTGTGGTTTGGTCCAAATCTCCATAGCATTTTTATGTTACTTTTCTTAGCCCTCTGATCTCCTTCTTGTTCCTCAGCACTTTCTCAAATGGCATGGATCACAGTTCTTACCTTCGTATCCTGTAGCTGTTCCCTGAGCATGCAATTGCCTCTTAATTCAGGAACTCATCATGTCTTCTGCTCAGAAATGGTCAATGTACAATGTATAAAAATAATAAAACTAGGTGCTACAATGTTTAGAAATGTCAGCACTGACACATAACTACAGAATGTGCAAAAGGCCTTAGAAAGGGGTCACTTATCCCCAATGAGTAAAGGTTCTATTCAGCTATGGGCTGAGATCAACTAGCTTACAGATTCCTGTTGCTCTGTAATCTGGATACATTCCAAACCAAAGGGGGGAGGGGGCCAAAAATGTCACCCCTGGCCTGAAACGTCATAAAAATGCAATTCATTTAAAGAAGGGGGGTTCTTCTTCAGGTGTCTATGTCACTGCCTGCTTGACCTGGACATTTCCTTTTGGCTGTCCAGAAGTGGAGTCCACTCAGGATCCAGAAGAGGAGTCTCAGTGGTGACATCAGCAAAACAGGAGTGTGGATTGCCAGCTGGCAAAGGCACAACAACTCTGGATTACCAATCACCCAGAAATAGCATTGACAGGGATCCAGACAGCAGACTTAGGTGAGAAAAGCATTGCTTGATAAGATATAAAAAAAACTGAGCTGAATGGGTGAGAGGGGAGTGCTAAAGGGATTAATATTGGCTCAAAGATGGGCTTAGGCATCGCTATCACTTATTTATTTGAGTATTGCTTGTTGTGTGGTTAGCATGTTGTAAAATATTGTGTGAATGATCTTGTATTATTTCATTTGCATTGTAAATAGTAATATTTTTTTTTCCTGCCATGAATTTCTGCAATGGGTGCTAACAAACAGCGATCCTTGCAAGAATGTGCAGATGTTGTCTATGGGGTCTGCCCAATCATTATGTGTAAATTAAATGACCCCTTATGAATTATAATTATAATTTTGAACAAAGCGAATCGAATCAATTGAGATTGCCATACTGAGGCACATACACGTGGATGATTTAAACTGCATTGGGGATAATAATATCACCTTTATGGGTACATAAAGCCCAGATCCAGCCAAATCTTTTTTCTCTGTTTTGGATTCAGTGGCAAATTATAGATCTCTTCTCACTTCCTATCCCTGAGACATCAGGGTGAGAAATTAGGGGAATGGGTGTCACCAGGACAGCAAAGCACTGAGAGCAACACAACTTGGGGTTCTAAACCTTTCCCACTTTAGTGGGACAAAATCATTGCATATTTCTCTGTTTCCCCAGTAGAGAGATTTGCCATTCCTTTAATTCCTGGTGACTTCCACTTTTTAGAAGAGGATATGAGGAGACATCCCCCAATGGAAACCCAAACAGCAATAAAAACTCAGGAGGGGGTCTAAGCCTTCCCCCCACTATTAAAAACCCCCATTTTTTTGTCTAGAGCCAGGCTTTAATTGCTTGCTAAAAAGCATTGCTCTCCAGTGCTGAAGATGGTAAGCCGTGTCCTAGAACATCTATTATACTGCACTTTATCATGAGTGCATCATTGAAGCAGATTTTAGAAAGCATTTTGTGCATATTCTCAATAGTGAAAGAAATGTTTTATCTCTGTGAGAGCTTTACAACCCATTCACGATTGCTGTGAATTATCATATCCAGGGAGAGGCTTAAAGTGAAACAGTCAAATGTTAAATCATTGCAAGAACATACATACTGCAATCCTTTAGACTTTGCTTTATAATGAACAGTTAAGCGTACATTATTTAATACATTTTGCTTGTATTATTCTATAATTCACAGCACTGAAAGCATTAATTTGTGAGCATGCATTTTTCATCTGCTCAGGCTCGTGCATGGCTCAGGACAGCTGGAACTATGAAATCCTTAATATTCCCACTCCAGGTTCAAACTCAAAGTACTACCAAATCATGCTGGGACCTACAAATTGAAAATTAAGCCATAACATTCTGTAACTGGTTATTTTGTCTTCTTCATCTTAACATCTAGTCCATTAAACATTTACAACCCAATACAAAACCATTATTTACATTATCAGAACTGACAGTCATCTTGGCCTGTTTCCTAAACAACAGCCAAGCTGCAGTTTGGTCCTAACATTGCATGTCTGAATGGATCCAGGTAGGCTATACATTTTAATGAGACTTATTTATACTGCGCCACAAACAAATCTAGTCACGCTGGTACTCCTGGGAAACCATTAAAACACATTTATAGGCCTCTCATAATCCTGGCTGCAACAAACCTTCAAGCTACCTCAGTCAAAATTTTCATTTAGGCCATATACATTCGTTAAAATTGATAAGTATATGTTTAAACTGCACTATGCAAACTGCAATATTTCAAGTTAATACTCATCATCCCCTGCAGATCAGCTGAAATGTAAGGAGATGCAGTACACATTGCTGCACTGTCTGTGGAACTGTGAAAGAAAGCAGGGAGCAAAAGTAAGGGAGTCTGTCAGTTTTTGCCCCACTCCTGCTAAGATTAATTAAAAGAAAACTATGGCCCAACATTTTTTGGCCATAGTTCTCTTTAGGGTCACAAGAGGACATATACTAATGTTCTCCTGTGACCCAAAACTCAGCATATACTGGGCTAATTGCACGCAATATGCTGACAGCGCAGAGTCGCACTGCAACCAGGACGGATCCCGACAATATTGTTGGAATCCACCTCGCTGTCTGATTGACAGCTGCCTCTCTAGAGGCAGAACCAGCTGTACCCGCCCCATCCCCATCTGTTCCGCCAGTCATCGCTGAAGGTACAGAGAGGGGAGGGGGAATCCGTCCTTTGCAGGGAGATGATTTGGAACGGAGCGTTCGGAGGTATATAATCGACATCTCCAGTGTCACACATCAGCTCTAATTATGGGGATGAGTGTATTTTCCTTTAAGACAAGTATGTACTGGGTTTGAAAGTAATATTAGTTTCCAAATTTGTGCAATTAGGTTAATCCAAATTGTTTTGTGTGTAGTTTAGTAACTCCTGAAACCAGCTGCAACCAAGGTCTTTGACTTCTGGGAGCTTTGGATGCCATGGCACAACTCAAAGGGTCCCACTCTATTAGCCACTGTGGCACCCTGCTGGACAGTGGGACGACAGGAAGGTGTGCTAAAGATCCTGGATGTCAAGGGCCCTCAATGCAGAATCTCCCAGATAGTTCACACAATAATTGGACACATTTTAAGGTGCATGAAGTTACCTCAGAGTATCTGAATTTTAGCAATAATGATGAATGCCTATCTTTAACGAAGAACTCCAGTTCTTTAAAAAAGTTAACCAGGCTACCACCACACTGCAAGGATTAACTGCTTATTTTTTTCTAGGGGCTGGAATAGAGAAGATATACTCACCCTATGCTCAGTCCTGCAGCAGTTGGCACTCACCTCTCCCCCTCTGCTCTGGCTATTGTTGGTCCATCAGCATCCTCACGTCTAATTCAGGTCAACAGACTGCATTCGATGTTATGACTTTATGGGGCTTGGACTAGGGAAGAAGATGCTGCAGGGACCAGTCTATCAGCCTTGTGGAATCGAGGATCAGGTGAGTATATTTATTTTATTTGTGCTCCTAGACCAAAATGAGCAGTTAACCCTTGCAGTGCAGGAGAAGCTCCACTGCAAGGGTTACCTTTTTAGATTCTGGTTGTTCCTCTTAATTATTACTAGTACACTTTCAGGTATTGTGTGTCTACAGTGTTTAGGCAGATCTTTAAAGACAAGGTAGTGACTACACAGGAAAAACAAAAGGAACAGAAAATATAAATAATTATTTATGGTATCTGTACAGCATATGAGCACTGGCCACATGAAAATACCATTTATGTGAAAATCCCTAGCCTTGAAAGCCACAAAGATGGTGTAAATTGATTAGAGGCAAGTAATCTATATACCTATGATAGTTACAAATACAGCCTTCTCACAGTGGCTTGACTAAGAAAAAGAGAAAACAGTGGAGGTGGCACAGAAAGTAAGTTCTCAAAAAAACGGACAGACTCTTGATACTTCAATTCACAAATTGTGATTCAATAAAGCATTTGCAACACTTAAGTTGTGACATGTGTGACAGATTCAGGCACCTCTTATTTGGGCAACTTTCACAATGTGTCGCTATGGCTGCAACAAATTCAAAAATAATTACTGCCAGTTTGTAGATAGCGAAACTGAAGATAATTAAGACCAACTCTAAATTGTCATACAGAGACAGGCATGCAACACTCTGCTCTTTAGTACATGGGGGCAGCTGTTTAATAAACAGGGCATGTTGCGCTGCAAAACTGTCATGAATTTGCCAATCTTCCCTTAGTTTTGGTTGGTTGCTAGGACACCTATGGATGCTGAGCCATTTTTTATCAGGCTTAACATTGCTAAGCTGCACTGAAGACAGAGTATGGACATTCTGGCCTCAGCGCCGACCTACATGTGATGAATTCCTGTACCTGTTTCTAACAGCTACATGAACTTGTCACAAACCCCACATTTAAGCAGATTAAACTTCAGATTTAACATTTTTTCATTTGCTAAATGAAAAACAAGAAACTGATTTACCTTGCCAACAAGCGCCCACAGTCAGCTGCATTGCAATGTGGGATGGATGAATTGGCCAGTCATTTGTCACCAGATATGGCTCATATGTTGATCCATCCATGTATAATGTTACGAGAGGAAAGTCTATGTTGATGACATAGTAATGCCATTCTTTATCACAAATCTGGAAAACAAAGCATACATATTACTTAAATCTATATCTTTACAATGCTAAAGAATGGCTTGTCCTGGGCATAGCATATTGGTTTAAAAGTTAGTTATATTATTTTATTCAATCTTGCAGATTTGTTTAAGAATGTTATGAGTAGTGAGATGTTAAGAGTTCACTACACAATATTATTACATAATTATATTACACACACTGGGATGTGTTAAATTGGTAAAATCAAAGCCAGCTTGATCAACATGTCAAAATACCTCAGTATATTAAAAGATGAATAATAAAATGCAGCAATTATGAGTACTGCTAAGTAAGAGAAAGGAGTACAGTTTTTCCATCAGTACCATTTGTCTCCAAATCCAAACAACAGAGCTACTAAAACCCATACTAAAATGAATAAGAAGGCTGCCATTTCTGACTTCTGAAAATGCTTGCTGTCTGACTTTCTGCGGCTTTGATTATTTCTTAGTCAATGACACAGTACACGCATGAAGACTAAGAAAGTCAGAGTAAAATCATCACTCCTGATCCCCAGCATGCTTCGAGGTGACCCTGTTAGTACGGGAAGCAAATTCAACTAAACCCTGCATGCTCTGGTTATGTCCACTTACTCTTGCATCCTGTATTGTTGTAGGAGTCAGCCGGAGAAACCACAAGGCGCAATGAAAGGTATTCAACAACACATCTGCAAGTGTATGTGATCTTGCCCATTGCAGTGCTCCTTACAATCTTTTACCCTTTGAATGAAAAGTGTCCCTCCATTGTTGTTTATATCATCTGTGTGTCCTATATCTGTTCATTCTATTTATTATATGTTGATACACTGCTATATGTTTTGAGCAGAACATTGCATCTTTAACGCCTTAAAAAATTAAGCTGCCCCTTACAAATATTTGGCCAAAAGAGGCTCACTTTCATCTAGACATTTTTCAGATAACTCAGAATAGTCTCAACAGGTCACCGGCACAGACAGAGATGAATTTAATATCTCTGTGATATATTTATTGAAGAATGTCACAGCATGTCATTAGAAGCTGAAGCTAGCGTTTCGGGACCTCACAGGGACCCTTCATCAGGGCAACATATTGACTATGTTGCTCTGATGAAGGGTCCCTGCGAGGTCCCAAAACACTAGCTTCAGCTTCTAATGACATGCTCTGACATTCAATAAATATATCAAAGACATATTGAATTCATCTGTGTGTGTGTCGGTGACCTGTTGAGACTATCCTGTTTTTTTGCACGACGCCATCCGTGTGATCACCATTAACACCACCACCATTGAAAGGTTACAGACCGTAAGGAGTGTGGGTGGTTCTTGGAAACAATTTTCAGATAAATGGTAATCCTTTGCTCAAAGTCTTTTTCTGTTTTTGTACATACTGTTGTGGAATGTCTTATTAACAGCAGCAACAAATAAACATAGAAGTCAAAATGGTAATGATATATCTCATCTAAAACATATGTTCACCAAATGTCAAACAAAATGTACTGAACAAGTAAACATTAGCTGTGTTACCTAGAAATATGGATAGATTTACAAAACACTGGGGAAAATAAAAAAAGCACAGCTATTGCCAGGGGCCAGTGGATGACAGGATTAGAGGGCAGTGGGCAGTTACCTTTTGGTACACCAGTACAAATGATGTATTTTGGGCTGGAATTCATAGGTAGAGAAATTCCTCCATTCAGACCTCAGTCAGCAAAACCCACATTCAGTAACAGCTACCGGCATGGTGTTATATAGCTACCTGTCCCCTGTTCAAACCTGAGATTACAGCACCTGTACTCTAACTTTCTTTATGGTATGTCAAGCAACTGAATGCTGAACTGGGAAATGTGTTGTGCTCATTTGTTAAACGAAGCTTACTGATCAGGATTATTTGTGTATACTGATGTAATGGGATTTTGGAATTTTCAAAGAGCAGCAGTCATGTTGTTCAGCTTATAAAGTACTTACTATATTACAATCTACCGTATCCCTAATTTAGTGTATATATATATATACATATATACATATACATACAGTATGTCACCCTTTGAGTTCACCTTATTGGCTAAATGTTCACAGTCAACCCCTGGTCGTTGTCTATGGTGTGGTGATCAAGCAAGTTTTGTTTTTTCACTAGGAACAAGAAATCTGAGTGGTAAACTCAGCTTCACTTTTGTATTTACAGTTTATGTATTTATTTTTTTTAAAACATGCCTCCAATCTACAGCATTTAAAGTCATAAAGTCAAAGTGTATAAGGGAAGAACTGTTTCAGGAGGTTAGTCTTGCCTCAAAGTAGCCAATCAAATGTAAATGATGTATTACATTTGGTGGACTGATAAAGAGTTTTTCAGTCAGGTACTTTGTTAACTCAGGGTTACTGGGTTTGTTCTAGTTTTATAAACCAGATGAGCTGATTATAAAATGCACATAAATGGTACAAAAATGTACACTAGCAGAAAAAAAGCCCTTTAAATTAAAGATGACCACAGGGTAGACAGTAAAACTTACCATTTCATCCAGTTGTGGATTCTTTAAAAAGCATTCAATCTAGTTTGAATACTGCTAGTGAAAGTTTCTGAATCTGCCTTCATGTTAGCTTTTTGTAATTCACTAAACAGCAGGGATCAGCATGGCTAGTACTTTAAAGTGACACTGTCACAATGTAAAACATATAAATCATAGGCACTCTATGGTTCATCCCACCAGCCACTACATCACTACAGGACACTGGATGTGGCAGGTGATGCGAGGCACCTCAGTGTGCAGTGGAAATGCCAGAGGTGTAAAATGCCAGCAATCCCATAACTTTTTTAAGAGAGCAAATATTCTACTCATCACCCACTCCAAACGAAAGTATTTAACATGTTCTTTTACAGGGTGCTTGTGAGTGGAAAGAAGAGTGATCTCCTGAGTGAACAGTTGCTTGATCCTCACGCATAAGTTGCTTGGTCCACGCATAAGCCTGGGGGTGGGCAGTGATCAAGTTGTACTGCTTAACTAATTTTAAAATGTAAGGTTACTGAACACATTTCAAAGGCTGGCAAGGATCAATAAACTAAAAACATTTTGGCAGATAAGGCAGTTCATATATATGCATTTGAATGGTATATTAGCTCTTTGCCTAGAGTTCAGCTTTAAGACATTTAATTAGAAAAGTGGCATGCATTATATTTTCAGTGCAGGAACTTTAGAAAATCCTACTAGAAAGGTGACAGAAACATCTTCATCCTCCTTGTATTATTACAACATATGGTTGGATGGAGAATAGGAAATACTAAAAAGTAATAGTATATTACATATGTAAATATAATTAGACATATTATCAGCTCTCAGAAAGGGAGTTAAAGAATAGGAAATCACTGCAGTTATTGAGTCCATTAATAATAGATGCTCTGTAAATAGATAAAACCCAATTACAATTAATAATAACTAAACAGACAAATTGATTGGGGCAGCTAATATCACAGAGGAGGAAAACCATTTCAAGTGTAAATTACTGTTATTAAAACTAATCATAGATCACTCAGACTGTCAAAGATATACAGAGCAAAAGCTTCAGGGCCATTTACATCAGGATATGTTAACAATTTTAAATAAAAGTGAAGGCTTTTTAATTATATTTTTTTAACTCAAAAGTAAAGGGATAAATCTCTGATAGTAAATACAAATAATAATGCCTGCATCCAATCAGATTGTTCAGTTATTTTACACAGTTTAGCATAGATAGAGGAATCTGTTGCACTTTATCCATCTGACCATAAGAAATCTGCAGATAATATATTGGTGTATGGCTAGCTTAAGGGTCAATACACACCTAAGCATGCCCCATGCATTTTCATCTAATGGAAACTACATTTGAACTAGTGATGCACTGATATATCGGCCGCCAACACATATCGGCCAAAAATGGCACTTTTGGCAAAATGCTGAAAGTGCAATTTTCTGGCCGAAATAGCAGTGCACCCGTTATTTCTCTCCTCCCTGCTGGGCACTGCTCTGTGTCCCAGCAGGGAGGAGAGAAACTGTCACAGGCGGCCGAGCGATGTGAGCGGCCGGCGTCTCTCCTCCACGTAGCCTCCTGTCACAGATTAGGAGAGAGGCAGTGTGGGCGGAGACAGCTTTCATTGCTGTCACAGGAGGCTGAGCTATCCTCCGGTAGCACCCCACCCCCCATCCGTTAACAGTGTGTCAGGATGGAGAGCGGTACAAACACTCAGCGATCAGTGAACGCTGAGCACTTGTAAATAATTGAGGACAGAGATTGTTTACTGTAGGTTTACACAGAGGATGTCAGGAATTAACAGCTTTACCCCAATATAAAGGGAACATATTTCTTACACACTTTTACTTCCCTGTAAGGATTTACAGTGAGCCACCTCTGCAAAGCTGGTAACCATCTCATTGTCATGACTACATCAACTTACCGACAGGAGGTTTACATTAACAGGTGTGTGATATCTGTAAACAATAGGAATATACAGCACAGAGGCCTCCATACCCCACCTATTTACAGACCCACAATGATATTGTTGTTTAACTGTTATTCATTTCTATTCCAGTGGATTGGATACCTATTACTGGTTAATAAAGTTATTGTTACAATTTCTCTTAACAAAGTTCATGCTGTTCATGCATTTTCCAATTGTACTGCACCAAGATGTATATTTATCTCTAGAAACCATGTTTAACATCCCTTTTGTGTTTGTACATACCCCCTCTACCTCCCTTCCCTTTCATTATATAAAAGAGAACGTGTGCCATCCCCCCATAAGGGCTCACAGGTTGTATACTCTTTTTACAAAGTATTATTAATAATTAACTTTTCCCAGAAACCGATTTCAAATACAATAATATTCTTCAATTTACCAGTAAATGCTACACACATTGGATTCATATCACCAACCCTTGTCTAAAACAAAAATACATTTGTGGCTATACAAAAAAAGAAATAGCCTGGTACATGTCCTTGACTCTCTTGCAAATCTAAAGGGTAGATATGTATTTCTAAA